GCTGGCTACTGCTTCTTGTCTGGATTGCCATCCTTTGTCAGATTGATGGGAACTTCAAACTCCAAGACGAAGGTCCCCACAGACGGCGCCAATGTTCTGTCCTTAAGACAGAGATGTCCAGCCCAGTAGGCTGGTATGTCGATCTTGGATCTAGTGCCCTCTCCAAGGTATCTATGAATGAGATACCCTTGAGTCAAGCAGATCACTGTGCACAGAATACTATAACGGCGTTAGCCAATGAGGTGTGTGTGTGCGCACAGTGACAACATAACAGTAAGAGAGAGAGAGCGTAACGTACCTTTAGGGTTTATCTTGTATTTATAGAGGTTACCTGTGGGTAGTGTAGATGGGCCTTTGGTGCCTCTGACGAGGGCCTAGGCCTGTTTGCTATGCTGTCGTACTAAGATTAGTATCCTTAATGGATATCTATCCTTTGTTAATATCAATCCGTATATTAGATTATCTCTAGTTGAGTTTACCACTTAATGGACCCATTATGGGCCCATAGCACACGGCTTTCTGGTCAGATATTTCACATTTACCGGTCCCCAGTGGGTCTGTATAGTTTTATTATTGTTTTCATGCTTCGTTGGATTCTGATTGCATTTGAGATGTCACGTACTGTGCTTGGTCCAACCATATTACCCCTTTGAGCGAGGTGAAAGTCACGGACTAGTTGGTAAATAATGTGACTAGGTGAAAGCAACTAAGAAAACACCTCGCATTTGATCCCGGATTCCCGGTGGATCAAGATTTTTATTGGATTTGTAAGCTAAAACTTATTAGGTGAGACAATATTAATATTTTTATATTTCTGTAATATGTTCTTGGGTTAATATATACAGAGGCATTTTTTTGTGCTAAATTTTTTTAAGAATTTTTAATTAATTATTAATAAAATAGGGCGGTGAGAATTAAATTTATAATCTCAAGGTTACAAATACTTTAATATCATATAAAAATGTAATTCAATCCAAAAGTTTTAATTATTAGATGATACCATTTTAATAATTTTATATTTCTTTAACTGCTATAAGAATTAGGGTTATAAGAGACATGCTTGTGAGACATAACTCTGTATTTATAGAAAAAATTTAGACGAAGATAGATAAAATTGATTTTACATAAATAGAAGGAAACCATTACATGGGTATTGAACACATCTATAACACGTATGGTGCGAAATTCTTATCACTTAGAAACCATTTGTTTGACCTCAGCTTTTATGTTTGTTTATTATAGAAGTGTTTTTTTACAAAAGTTAAACGTATTTAAATTTTTAAAAAAATATTGAATTTAAAAAAAAAATATTTGACTTTTGAATTCTATTTTTTAAAAAAATTAAATTTTTTAACTCAAAACAACATGCTTTTGATTTTTTTTGTAATTTTTGCTACATCCAAATGACCTTATAATGTTAAGCTCAGAAGCATGGACAACCTTCTAAAAAAAAATTTGTGTGTCGGACACGTGTTTGATACGGACACGTGTTTGATACGGACACGTGTTTGATACGGACACGCGTCCAACACGTGGTCAATATTTTGGAACACGTGGTCAACTCTCCGACATGTTTTTCAGACACGTGGTCAACGCTCGGACACGTTTTTTTTTAGTCTTAATTTATTTTATTAACTAAAAATAAAAAAATTATTTATAAATCAATTTTTTTCTGTTATAAAATTTGACATGAAAAATTAACAAAGTACGAAAAATTATTTTTATTTATATTTATGTTATGAAATTTAAATATTTGATTGGTTATATGACTTATTATGAACTGTTATATCTATTAAATATAAATTATATTATATATATTAAAAATATTATTTAATATCAAAATATGTGCCAACGTGTCGAAATATGTCTTTTTTAAAATTAACGTGTTGACGTGTCGTGTTGTTCCGTGTGAGTGCATCATAGATGTTAAGTACTTTTTTTTTTCTTCTGAAAAAAAGTAACTTTGAAAAAATAAGTTTATTCAAAGGGGCTCTTATTAACAACTTGTACGCCACTCAACGATATCTGGTTAAATAAGTCTAACCATGACTTACTTTTCTGTCAAAAAAATGAATTTTCTTGGTTCAAAAATAGAAAACTAATAGTGTATTGGAATAAAGGGTGTGACCTAGTCAAGGCAAATCACATCCAACTTCGGAATTCTTTGGGTGCAATAACATTAGTCATGGGTGTGACAACTAACAGTGTCTTGGAATAAAGGGTATGACCTAGTCAAGGCAAATCACATCCAACTTCGGAATTCTTTGGGTGCGATAACATTACTCATGGGTGTTATATATATATATATATATATATATATCAAATTATTTTATATCGATATAAGTTATACTTTTAATCTTAATTATTAATTCTATTTATATCTAATTGTCAAGAGGGTCCAAGAGGAGTCAGTGGCAGATAACCATTACCAATGGGCTAAAACTATTGTAACCATTCCAAGTGGATCCGACACTATTTCACAACTCAAAATCTTAAGACAAGTGTATATAAGTGGGAGGACCCATGAACTAAATGCCTTAAGATTTTGAGTTGTGATATAGTATCGTACCCACTTGATATAGAGGTCTTGCTTAACCCATTGGTGGTGATCCCCCGCCATAAGTTTCCTTGGACCTGCCTGGCAGTGGTATCAGAGGAAGATTGGGCTCGGACTAGCTTGATGATTGGCTAGAGGCGGGTTGAGTATTTGGGCCCTCGAGTACTCAGTTGAGGGAAAGCAAATCAATGTTGGGTTTCACATTTGTGGAGGAAATTGTTGAGATTATTAAAGTGTGACGAGTACCACATTGGTTAGTAATGAATTAAGTGAAGTGTATATAAGTGGATGGGCCCATGAACCCAATACATTAAGATTTTGGGTTGAAATGTGGTGTTGAACCCACTTGATATAATGGTCTAGCTTAGTCTATTAGAGGTGGTCCCCCGCCACGGGCTTCCTCTTGGACTCGCCTAACACTAACAAATTTAATTTATTAAATATCTTGGACTCGCCTAACACTAACAAATTTAATTTATTAAATATTTGAGTTGTTAGATGCAAGTAAAACATATTTAGAAAGCAAGCCATATGCTATTTTGTACTTGTCGGATTTATAAGCCTACATGCCGACCTATATCATATTATTTACTTTAAATAAAATAAATAAAACTATTATTTTAATAATTTTGAATAATAAATTAATATTATTTTAGTTATTTTTAATTATTTAATACTTAATAGGCTTAAATAAGCTAAAAGGCCTAGGCCAAGGCTTTTAATTTATAATATAGGTTATGTCAGACTTGTAATTTGGGCCTACACAGACTAACAAGCTAGGTCTATGGTTTTTTACACAAGCTTAGCCCATTTAAGTCAACGCATAGCCTAGCCTATTTACAACCCTACTTATGATTATGTACTCGGGGGAGTACATAATCATAATGTTAAAGTTATTTTTTTTTCTCTTTCCAAAAACTTTTCAGAAAAAAGCAATTTTAATATTATAATTATGTACTCTCCAGAGTACATAGTTATAAGAGGGTGGCAGGAGATAAACTTATCTCAAGTAGCTGAAGAAATATTTTTTCTCTATATATATATAGGGTAAGATTATACTTACTACCATTTTAGTCTTTTTACTCTTACTACCTGATTGGTTGGCGTTGGATCAGTTTGAAATCAACGATTAAAAAATGAAAAAAAATTAACTGAATTTCAAATTGATCTAACAGTAACCAATCAAGTAATAAAAGTAGTAAAACTAAAATAATACTATTAGTAAGTATAACCTTCATTATATATATATATATATATATATATATATATATATATATATATATATATATATATGTGGGGCAGGATCATCTTACACTCATGTAAGAATAATGAGTCTTACACCAAATCTTAACCATTGATTTTCTGCATCTAACGGTTCAAATTTATTAGATTTCACTCATTAATTAATTTTTAATTCTCAATAAATCTCAACCGTTAGATGCACGGAAATCAACGGTTAAGATTTGATGTAAGATTTATTATTCTTACACCGGTATAAGTTGATCCTATATATATATATATATATATATATATATATATATATACTGGACAATGTCATTTGACATTGGTATCAAACCAAAATTTTTGACACTTTTGAATTATTGATTTCCAATAATATGACGAGGATGATTTATTAAGAATTTATAATTAATTAATTAGTGTAACTCCATAAATTATAGTTATTAAATTAGTGAAAATCAACATTTCAGATAAATTTTTATAGTTTGATATAAGTATCAAATGGTCTCGGTTTAACAATATTAAATTTCATTTTTTTTAATACAAACAGCGAATTAAACAAAGAGAAATTTTTTTGACCAACCTGTCCGGTTGTTGCAACACCTATTAGATATTAGTTTATGGGAAGTTATTGTCTCATTTTACATAAGATAACTATCTCATACTACTCTTACATAAAAAATTGTGTCATCACTTTTTTTTTTAATGGGTGGTGGGCCCCACCCCACCATATTATGTGTCTACGATGAGAGATATTTATCTCTAAAAATATGAGAAAAATAAATCCCATTAATAGCTTATGTATACAATAATTGATGACTTCATTGTTAACTCATAGTGAGGTTATAATTATTTTCATTCGCATAACTTAAACACAAAAACTGTGATTTAACACATATAATATAAAGTTACGAGATTCGTAACTAAAAAAAAAATAATGTAGTAAATTTGCCATGCTAAATTGTTAAACAAATCACATGCATGTATGTAACTTATGTCAGTTGGTGAAAAATTGAAAACCCCATCTTCGAAATGGGCCCACAGCCCACCCACTTCTTATAATATTCCACCATCTTGACTATATAGGATTCAAGACATGGAATCAAAATATCTAAAACATAAAGCTCTTGACCTGACTGTTGACAAGTTAAATCTGAAAGCACAACATCAAATTCAACAATATAAACATCATGTGTTGAGCAAATTAAGGAATTGTAAGGCAAACAAAGAAGAGAAGAACAATGATGATAAGTTTCAAACCCCATCACTTCTATCCTCTCTTCCTCTTTATCCTCTTCATCATTGGACTTGTTCTTGATCCTTCTAATGCTCAAACTGAGACACAAAAAAACAACACAGGCTTTAGCTGCAACAAGAGTTCGTATCCATGTGAAGCCTATGCTTTCTATAGTGCCTCAAGTCCAAATTTTCTTGACCTTGCTTCAATAGGTGACCTTTTCTCTGTTAGCCGCCTCATGATATCAAAACCAAGCAACATATCAAACTCTTCATCACCTCTTGTCCCTAACCAACCCCTCTTTGTTCCCTTAACTTGTTCTTGCAACACAGTTAACAGCACTTTTGGTTCCATATCTTATGCTAACATCTCATACACCATCAAACCCAATGACACTTACTACCTTGTCTCCACTTTCCAATTTATGAACCTCACAACCTTCCCTTCTGTTGAGGTTGTGAACCCAACTCATATCGCTACAAACCTATCAATTGGTGATGATGTTATATTCCCTGTCTTCTGCATGTGTCCTAATAACAGAACAACCCTTTTGCAAGAAAGAGCCAATTACATGATCTCTTATGTTGTTCAACCTTCTGATAACATATCATCAATTGCTTCAAGGTTTGGATCACAGGAACAGTCCATAATTGATGTGAATGGTGGTAAACTTACCCTTTATGATACCATCTTTGTTCCGGTGACTCGGTTGCCGGTTCTTTCGCAACCGGCGGTGGTTCCTTCTTCTCCTCCTCCTGCTGCTGCTGCTGGAAATGGAAGCTCTGATGATAGGACTGGGACAGTTAGAGGATTGGCTATTGGGTTGGGAATTACTGGGTTGTTGTTGATTTTGGTAACTGGGTTGTGGTTTTATAGGGAGGTTATGTTCAAGGATAGGGTGGGGATGGTTAGAGATGAGGAACAACAGAGGAAGAAGCATAACTTGCATGTGGGAGGGAAAGAGAACAAAGGGAACAAGCATATGGATGTCATGTTGATGGCTAATGTATCAGATTGCTTGGACAAGTATAGGGTGTTTGGAATTGAAGAACTGATAGAAGCCACTGATGGGTTTGATCAAAGTTGCTTGATTCAGGGTTCTGTCTACAAAGGCTCAATTGATGGGGAAGTATTTGCAATCAAGAAGATGAAGTGGAATGCCTATGAGGAGCTCAAGATCTTACAGAAGGTAACACTAATCTTTTTCACATATCTTACATTATTAATTGTTTGTTAATCATGTCTAAGAGTTGTTGGTTTAATGGCGATTACCTTAGACTCCAATGTTTTACCTGGGGGATCGATTCCCGGAAAGTGGAGAGGCACAAATCCAAAACTGAATTAGTTGGATCCATTAGGACTTTGGACACTTGTTGGTATCTAAAATAATTATTTGTTAATCATCATTGTTTACTATTAAAAATCCTATTGTTATTCTGCTTAGATTCCATTTTTCTCTGTGATGCCCAAATTATCTATCAAAAAAGTGCCTGAGTTAAACTAAAAAAGAGTGGAAGATACAGAATCACAAGTAATAACATTGAAATTTGAAACAGACCATAAGCTGTGGGTGAGGAACAGATAGTTGATTAATAATCAGATGAGATTAAGTGAGGTGACTTGCCTGATGAATGGTCAACAAAATTGTATGTTATGTGTATAGAAGGTTTCAAATGTTGCAAAATGCTACTTTGTGCATTACATCACCCTCCTCCGACTTGTTTAGTTTTTAGCTTATTTAAATCAAGGGAATAAAGTATAAACCTCTAGATTCCTAGACATGCACAATTATAATATTCCCATGGTACTTGAGGCAAAAAAATAATCGGAATCGTAGCATGTGAATTATTGTGTAACCTTCGTTTATTGAGCAAAAAAATAATCGGAATCGTAGCATGCGCATAAAGTTTATATATGCATTTTGGTTATAACTTAACAAAAACTTCATCAGACTGGAATTTTTTATTGTAAATATAAGTTAGTCATTATTTTCATGTATTTTAAAAAAGCATCAAGAGGAATTAAACAATAGTAGTTGACGGTATAGATTCTTCTGATTATTTAATTAATATTTTTCCAACTTTGTCTTATTTTTCAGATCAGAGTTGATTAATATTAAGATATAATATAGTGTTTCTGATTAAACTTTAAAGCAGCACGTTAGGTGGTGTGCTAAAGGCATAATGAAAGACAATGGACCCCCCCCTCTGCTCTTGGTCCATTTTCCATTTGAAGACAGAAAAAACTATAAACACTGTAGTTCAAAGAAAACTGAAAGCAAGAAGCAAGAAAAATAAATAACAAAAGCATAATAGGCTGCACACACACACACTCTTTCTTTCTAGTAGTTTTAACTCTTGTTTTGATCGATCCGGGAGGATCATGAATGTAAACAGTATGGTTGTAGTTAACATAGGATCTATATGCTTGTGGGAGCCTATAAAAGAGATGCCACAAGGGATGACATATGACTGTGCACAAAGAGGCTAAGAGGTTTGAGCTTAAAGGACATGGGGAGTGTGCACAATAATAGTCAAGAGAGTAGGGTTTAGAAAGTGTGTACTTGAGAAGACTGAACCTGCTATTTATAGATAGGGTTATCTATAGGGGGGGAGAGTTTGAGTGGAAGTCAAACTGTTGGGGATAGGATATTAGATCATATCCCTTAGTATCTGAGTTGTTTGTTACTAGTAGATGCTGTGTGATCCATTAGATGGGTCGACAACATGTCTCATTCTGCATTTTTTTCGAAATATAAGTGCGTGTGGTCCAAACTTGTGTCACATACTATTCATGATATATGTTCATCCTTGAGTAGTTGATTAACAGTGTACCATTTTCTGTGTTAAAGGTAAACCACGGGAATCTGGTGAAGTTGGAGGGATTTTGCATAGACCCGGAAGAAGCAAATTGCTATCTAGTCTATGAATATGTTGAGAATGGATCTCTTTACTCATGGCTGCATGAGGACAAAAACGAAAAGCTGAATTGGAAAACAAGGCTGAGAATAGCCATTGACATTGCCAATGGTCTCCAATACATACACGAGCACACAAGGCCAAGAGTTGTGCACAAAGACATCAAGAGCAGCAATATTCTATTGGATTCCAGCATGAGAGCCAAAATTGCCAATTTTGGGCTTGCAAAGTCAGGAATGAATGCCATTACAATGCACATAGTGGGAACACAGGGCTATATTGCCCCTGAATATCTAGCTGATGGTGTGGTCTCAACAAAGATGGATGTGTTCTCTTTTGGGGTTGTGTTGCTTGAACTAATTTCTGGGAAGGAAGCCATTGATGAGAAGGGAAATCTCTTGTGGGCAAGTGCCATAAAAACTTTTGAATTGAATAATGAGCAAGAGAAGGCTAGGAGACTTAAGGAATGGATGGATAAGGCTATTTTAAGGGACACATGCTCAATGGAAAGTTTGATGGGCGTTCTCACCATTGCAATTGCTTGTTTCCATAAAGACCCATCAAAGAGGCCCAGCATAGTTGACATTGTCTATGCATTATGTAAAAATGAAGATACAGGCTTCGAACTCTCAGATGAAGGGATTGGTTCCCCAAGGTTGGTGGCTAGGTGAACTGGGTTCTGTTGATGGCCCATTTGGTTTAAAAGACCCCAATATGTAGTACTTAACCCAAAATATTCTTGGGTTGTCCAATCTTTACAGATTGCATAATCTTTATCTAGGACTTATTGTAGATATGGACAACAAATAAGCTTTCAAGTGGGGCTTCTTATGTTGGTTTGCCTTTGGCAGCATTTGTAAAAGATGCCAAAAAGTACTGCTAAGTAATTAAAGTTAGAAGTGTTTTGAGAGGTTTTTGATGTTTTCCATTTTTTTTAATATATAGGATCTCCCAGTTTCACATTTACAGTTGCGTATCAGATTTAAAGAGAATTGATGGTAGTGAAAATGCAAAAATGGCGAGCTAGAAAAGTAAATAAAAGGACTTTCACTTTTTATGCTTAAATAATCAGTTTTTAAACACCTTAAAAAAAAGCATTTAAATTTCATGACCCTACTAATTAGAATACTAAACTTCTCATGTAGATAATCAATCATTTAACCTGATATTTGAATGCTATTATCATAGTTGTTATCAATTTTATTGCTAACGAACATAGACGTGTGAGTATAAATAGGAGTATTTGGTGAAGATTTTGCATCACATTACATCTATCAAATACATTCTCAAGGATATGGCTGACTTCACTTCCAAGACTGGGATCGACCCATATAAGCACGCTAATGAGTCGATGTTTTGTTAACATGTTTGTTATTTATTTTCTTTCTACTATTATTATGATCATTATACATCAATATTAGTTTGAAGGATCAATAATCTGATAAAAAATTGTGTGGTTACAATCAAATAATGAGAATGTGATATGAGAACTGGTGTGGTAGCAGATATGATTGTTTGTACCTCAACCATGCATCAATTGTTAAGTATTGCAAGGCTATCAGATGACGGATACTAATTAATTGATACCGATAGCAGAACAAATTTCTACTCTTTTTAGTACTCTGTTAATATATGTTGCTTTTGTGTTAAAATATCTCAAGGCCCGAATATTCAGAATGTTTTAGTTCTGCAAAGTTCGATAATGAAATGTAGTTTGTAGTTGCTTTCAATGCATGTGTTATGGACTGGATCCATATCTCAATAACCTATCTAATATAAGATTGAGATTTATCCTAACAATATTAGAGGATAATTCAATCATCCTATCCCAAGGAATCACACTCCTACTAGGAGTCTAAATGTATAGGTAACTGCTTCTATAAATAAAAGGTTAAAACCTCTCAGGTAAACACTTTTGAACTTAATTATTATTGCTACCAACACTCAACACACATATCCATAACTCGGCTATAAACTTATTGATTGTGCGCAGTGATTGGTATATTGGTTTTGAGCCAATTGAATATCTCTTTCATAGATATCTCTAAGGATATACCTTCAAGGTAATACTCACGGTCTATCTAGGACCAAAAAGTATGTATATATTAAATATTGGCTCTCGTTATTTTAAATCAAAAGATAAAAAATATAAATAGATACTGATATCTGTTGAAGTGCTTCTAAGTATTTAGTGCATTCTATGTTTGTTGCAAATCTCCACTGTACAAATATGAGCTTTATTTTGTTTAATTAGTTGAAACCTGGTGAACCACATTGAAAGGTTTGTTTTATGTGTGTAGAACATGAATTTTCCACCTACCAATTTTCCTTTTTTTCCCTCCTAAAACAATAAGCCAAAAGTGTTGTGTGTTTAGTGATCCTTTCTCCTCCTAAAAATGTTCTGTGGTTCCCGACCGGTTTGTACCTGTTTTGCCACCTTTATTTCTGACTTGTACTCCTTTCTTCACCAAATAGCTATACTCTCAGCAATGTGAAGCGAAACATGACTTAATAAATCTGGCCTCTTAGCATTGATTAAGGAACTACAAGTCCTGTAATGCTAGCTGGCATTTATGCCAAATTATGGCCCTTCATGCCTTTCCTTTAATAGACAATATCAAGTGCAATCATTTCAGTTTATAAAGGGTAGCTGAATTTCCATTATTGCAATAGAAAAGACAGTGAAGTGAGGCTGCACCTAAGTTAGACAAAATTGCCGCAGCTGCTAATTGCTTGTAAAAGTGAAACGACTTGTAAATATTAAATTTTTACTCTGAAATTGAAGTTTTTTGTATTAGTGTTATTAAATATAAATCTATTTATATTAAGCCATTTGTGCTGGTGCAATTTGTTCCAATTGCATGTACATTGGTCAAGTAAAATCCATATTATTTTGATTGATAACTCTTAAAATCAATGTGTTTCATAATTTTCTAAATAACATTATTGAGTTTAAAATGCCCGAGACAGCCACTGTACAAGTACATACAAGATACAATTTTTTTTTTTTTTTTTTTGAGATAGTCCAATTGATTTATCGCTTCGTCGCTAGTCCTATTCGGGGCGAGTTCCGGAATTAAGGCTTTAAATCCTCCCAAAGACAATACTGGGAAGGATCGAACACATGTTTTCACCCACGCCTGCTTAGTTCTCTAGTGCCAACTGAATTACCATCATTTTGTATACAAGATACAAATTTTTATCATATGTTCAAAATGGCAGTTCTGGTTTATTGGAATTTGTAGCATTAAAGTGATGAATAATGGAAATTCTGCATCTATGTTACTAAATGTTGCAGTCCAGTTATAGCGGAATTTCATGCATATTATTCTGGGTTTAACATGGATATGGTTCGATAGGCTTCGCAAACGATGGAATTCCCTAGTTAACAATTTATTTAATAAAATAAATAAGATGTATATTTGTTTACTCATTAGGTTAAAGTGCAGAGAAAGTTACCGCCTGACTGAAATATGATTTCGAAATTGAGTAATCTCCAAAGGAACAATAAATAAATTATCAAACTCATTTCTCAAAAAATAATATTATACATGTTAACTTTTTTATTATATTGAATTAATTAATTAATATTATTTTAATATTTTAAATTAATTTGGATTAATAAAATATTTTAATTGGATTAATTATTTAATTAGGTCATTGTTTCTAGGCAAAAAAATTAATTTATTGCTTTTTTAATAAAAAGTATGAATAAGTAGTCATTTTGAAATTAATTACGAAAATATAGCAGCCAAACACGCATCTATGGGGCGTGACCGGTTGGAGAGAGACACGCCCAATGTTGGGCGTGACCTAAGCGTGACTCACGTCCACATGGGGCGTGACCAAGTTGGAGAGAGACACGCCCAATGTTGGGCGTGACCTAGGAGAGAGACACGCCCAATGTTGGGCATGACCGAGGAGAGAGACACGCCTAATGTTGGGCGTGTTTCACCAAGTGCTGCCACGTGTCACAAAAGTCAATAATTTGACCGTAAAACTTTAGAAGTCCATAACTTTTGACTCGGGATCCGAATTAGGTAATTTTTTTTTGATTCCACATAACTTTTCGAGATCTACGTAATGACACCTAATTTGACCTATTTTGTCTCTCACAAAAAAATTTGAATTTACAACAATGATACCATAATTATTAAAAATGACATGACTTTGTTACCTTATAATTATTACTAAAAATAATCTAACATTTTTATAATCATGAACAAAAACTTAAAAATCAAAATAAAACGAAAAACACTCACTTAACTTTTTAATATAAATTATTCGATATTCTGTCACCGACAGATGTTAACTTTTATTAATTATAAATTTCATAAAATTCTTCATTCAAAATTGTAATATATATCTCAATAACATACATAATTAACCTTATCATAACTTACCATAATCATAAGGATCTTTATTATGAATGTTTCTAATCTTAACAGTGGTTTTCTGTTAATTTTTGTTTAAACGTTCTTATGGTATCATTATTGTAAATTCAATTTTTTTTTGTGAGAGACAAAATATGCCAAATGAGGTGTCATTATGTAGATCTCGAAAATTTATGTGCATTCAAAAAAAAATTACCTAATTCGGATACCCGAGTCAAAAGTTACGGACTTCCAAAGTTTTACGGTCAAACTGTTGACTTTTGTGCCACGTGGCAGCACCTGGTGAAACACGCCCAACATTGGGTGTGTCTCTCTCCTCGGTCACGCCCAACATTGGGCGTGTCTCTCTCCAACCGATCACGCCCCTATGGGGCGTGTTTAATTGCTATATTTTCGTAATTGATTTTAAAACGATTACTTATTCGTAATTTTTTATTAAAAAAGCAATAAATTAATTTTTTTGCCATTGTTTCTAACAATGAAATAAACTGGTAGTAAATATTGATAGTTTATATAACACTGACAATATCCTCTATTATATATATATATATATATATATATATATATATATATATATATATATATATATATATATATATATATATATATATATATATATATGGATTTAGTGAGTGTACAATGACTGGATGTAAATTTTGGTCCAGTGCACTAAGTTCTCCTGCGAGAAGATAGTTATAGTAAATATTATAACTATGTTCTCCCGGGATAATACCATTGTAATATTTAGTGCATTATGTTCTCGCGGGATAACACCATTGTAAGAATATCCTGCCCCATATATATATATATATATATATATATATATATATATATATATATATATATATATATATATATATATATATATATATATAGAGGTAGGATCCTTTGACACCAATGACAAATTTGAATTTTGACACCTCATCTAGGAGTCATTAGATCAAAAAAGATCAATGGTGTCAAAGTTCAAATTTGACACTAGTGTCAAAGGATACCTACCTTATATATATATATATATATATATATATATATATATATATATATATATATATATATATATATATAGGGATAGAATCTATTTACAAACTACACTGAGTACGACCGGTCATACTTTAATCATGCAGTGTACGACCGGTTGTACTTAGTGTAATTTGCAAAAAATGTTTGTAAACATATCCTCTCTATATATATATATATATATATATATATATATATATATTCTTAATTGTACATCATTCCGGGATAAACGCGTTTTCTTAATTTTCTAAGTCTTAGTTGTCCACCTCGACCAGATTAGTCGCGATGAGTCCATAGAGATTAATTAATGAGCTCTTTCCATCTTGATGAGGAACAAAGCGGATATATAGTGAAAAATAGCCATCATAAACTTTATAAAATGAGAATAAAAATTGAAATGGTAATTGCATGTTGGACTATTAAATTTGCTATGGAATCTATAGTTATATTTAATCGATAAACCAGCTAACCTTTTTCCATTTATTATAAGATTTGTTTAAATAATTAATTTTTGCTTGTGTTGAACTTTTTCTGACAGCTTCTCATTGTGAAATG